GGGGCAAACTGTCTTTCTAGATCTAGCACTTAATGCAACAACTGGCAGTTTAACTTTGTATAACATCTAAAATTGATAAATTTATCACATACATTAGATACATGTAAAGTTTTGTCATCTAGGAAATGTTGTGATATTGTTGGGCAACATAGTATTAATTTGTTTATCAATGAATGGAAAGAACGTATATCTAGTCCAACTGGTTCTGTTGGTAATGCCAGAAACAAATTACGCACATATCAACTGTTTGAATATCAATATGAAACTGAAAAAAAAATGTTTATTTACCAATGCCAGTAGTAATGGAAATAACGGGTGAGCAATATACTTCTGGAGTAACTCGAAAAGAGCAAATAATAGGAGAAAATTGTGTGATAATTGAACTGATTGAGGGTATTGTGAAGATCAATTAAACTTGAAAACTGCGAATAATTGCCGATACCTACTTATCGATTATACCATAATGGCCATTGTTAAAAACATTTATCTACAACATAATTATTTTTCTTTTAACCGACCTTTTATCGAACGCGTGTTTAATATTAATTCCAATTGTCATTACCTTGTGCCATTTTCTGAATATTGTAGAAGGGAGGCATATACTCTAACTGTGTGGTGATTGAAAGAGCTTTTTCTTAGTGTGGGTGTATTGAGAATACTGGATAATAAAAGGGTGTTGTTTGGGCTTGTTTGTATTTTTGGGTTATTTTTGCTAAATGAGACATTCAGATATTGCAATTTCCGAAAAAGAGGATGCTGAGGAAGCAGAACATCCGATCGAAGCAGACGAGAGCACACCGTCGTCTATTTTTGATATTAGCGATAATCCTACAACGGTGTTTAACAAATCAAGTACACTATTCACCGGAAATGATACGCATAATGCTGCTATGCTTAAGAATGATAAATGGTACCTTAAGGAATCCGTGATTAAATTTGCGACACCATGTTCTATGAGTTTGATTGGAATGAGCGAATGTGGTAAAACTACATATATAAAAAAAAATGCTTGAGCAAGCAGACGGCATTTTCACAGATCCTCCAAGCGCAATTAAATATTGTTTCAACGTGTATCAACCACTTTTTACAGAAATTTGTAAAAGCGTACCTAATATCAGCTTTTATCAAGGTGTACCAGATCGAGAAACAATTGAAAAATGGGCATACCAAGAACGTCATTTGATGATTATTTTTGATGATATGTATACCGAAATATCTTCAAGCAAAGCAATATGTGACTTGACGATAATGTTATCACATCATCTGCACATTACATCCTTATTTACCCAACATAATATTTTTGGTAATTCACGTTTCAGCAAGACAATTGCGACTAACCTTCATTACATATTATTATTTACTGTAAGAAATAGAATGCAGTTGGCTGTTTTGGGAAGCCAGTTATTTTGCCATAAAAACAAAGCTAAAAATTTTGTCAAAGTGTACGATTCAGTAGCCGAAGACAGCGCGGGTGACGGTCCATTGATTATTGACAATTCTCCTTTTCTTCAAAATAAACAATTCAGGTTAAGATCGAGAGTTCTTATAGGCCAGCTTCCAGTTATTTACGAAATAACTTGACAGACAAAGCGTGGCTAATTTGGGGACTATTATCACAATTTGTGTGGTCATTTATCGATGTGAAATTTGAAGGAATCAACGTTTGTACAATGGATCGTATTTGGAAACATTTACATCTTTTAAGATACTTGAGCACTTCAGACAATGTTTTAATTCGGAAGAAAATAATAGAAGCTGCAACCACAGAGCAAATAATAACTATTTGTGAAATTTCCTGTAATATTTTAGAAGGCGTTTTCGAACTGTCCCACGAGGAATTAGAACAACTGGTGCGTTATAAAAAAGTTTATCGGAAACTGTGCGAAAAAACTGTTAATTTCTCGGAGAAGAGAGCAGTACTATTAAAACAAAGTGCCAGCATTAAACGCTTGCTTCACGTCTTCTTCAGTCATTGGTCTGCTATAAAACAAGAACAACAACAACATGGAAGATGGAGTGAAAAAACTGGTAGTGATACCACAGACACAGTACAAACAACTTCTTCAACACCAAGAGAAGGCGGACAGAGCCCAATCTCTAGCTCTGAAAGTGAAGACGACGACGGAGAGGGGGGATGTATCTCAAACACTGGACAAGGAAGTGAAATCTACGAATGACTCAAATACAGTAGTTAAAAATAGCCCTCTCGGGGATAATACTGCAGAAATCGAACGATGCGATGCGGACAGCGATGAAATCAATCGAAAGATTTTACAAGTTATTGAATACACATTTTCTTCAAACATTCGTAAAAAAATAAGAAAAATCATTGCTTTTATCATAAATTTTGGGAGCAACGTAATTAGCTTTACTTCCACTGGAAACGTGATGATAAGGGGTGTGCTACTTGATCCCAAAGCGAATATTATCGATCTTTTTGAGGCTTTGGTCAGCGGTGTGAACGGCAGACAAAAACCGCTTGGTTATTATGCTTTTATCCAAGCTTTAAAGGACATTAACATACCTTCACATTTTATTCAGGATGATTTAGCCTATCGTGTTTCAAAGAAGAAAAAGAATGAAATGCATAATGATGGCAAGTTAAAGCTAAAACATATACCAGAGAGGAAGAAGTGGAAGCCATATTAAAAAATAGTGTGCATCAATTACACGTTCTTTCTATATACGGATAGAATCACATTTAAACGGTTATGAGTAGCATTAATGCGACCGGATATTTTGCTGAGGTTAGGAGTTTTGACTCAATAAAACTGTTCAAGAGAAATAGTTCTTCAGGATTTACAGTTCAATTTGACAGAGAATTAATTTTTAATGGAAAATGGGAATTAGCTTTATTTGATTTTGTCCTTAAATGTCAAAGTCATTCAGATCGTATGGATGGAAATGACATATATATATTCAGTAACATTATCGAGCATGGATTTTTTAGGAGCAAACATGAAGCAATTGCTTCGACGTGTTAATGTCGGTTCACCAGTTATTTCGTCATCACATTCAGTGTACACATTTCATTCAACATGTGCCCTTTACAAGAGAATATGTGTTCGTAACTGCTTGTCCATAGAGTTTCAGCTTGAGAATGAAATGGGAAAAATAGTTAGGTTTCCGCCAAACTCAAATGTGACATTGACATTACATTTTAGACCATGTGATTAATATAACAACAAGTGATATAGTTTCTAAATTTAATATTATTCATAACAACGCAACATTTACAAAACAAGAACGATATTTACAGCACATAGAACGATATTTACAGAACAAAGAACGATATTTATAGACCTTAACTTTTTTATCATACTGTTAAAATACGGAATTAATAGATTTATTTAAATATTTGTAATCAACACTCGCGATTGAATAGTATTTTTAGAAAATTATTATTATTATTACAAAACTTCAATTCGGCAGTATTTATGAATAACAATAAATATTTTATATAAAAAATCAATGTGAAAAAAAATGAATGTATATTCAAAAAGTCAGTATCTATTCATTAATTATTAAATATATCTCTTATCAAATGGCATGTGTTTCTCTTTTCTATCACCATGGTTAATAATATAGGAGTGTGGTTGAAATACTTGATTTATCTTTCATTTTCATTAACAAATACTAAGTCATGATTGCAAAATTTGCCAAAATTGCGATTATTAAATTTGTATTAGTTTGTATAATTTGTTTCTTTTAATAGTACACAATATAATTATCCATTTTGATATAATTGTAAAACAACAAAAAAACGGAATACAAAAACTAATCTGTTGAGATATTAACATAAATACAGGCGCTAGTCAATGTAATGTGTATAGATAGTGTATGATGATTCTAAAATTCATCAACAGCGAACAGTGTCACGGAAGTGGTGTCAAAGGAACCTCCCTTACGTCGTCTTGGAGATCGAGGTGGCGCCTCCCGCAGAACAAAAGTTGTCTCCGCCGTTGTCGAAGTAATCGTATCGCACTGTATTGGCTGATTCCTCCTCCTCGCTCGACAAGATCGAATCATTATAACTATGGTCCACACTCCGCCAATACTCACAATGGAAAAGCTAAGAATTAGTAGTATCTTGTATATTGTGACTTCTCTTTTGATTTCTGAAAATCAAATAAACACACATGTATAATTCAACAAAAAAAAAAAAACAAACAAATATTGGTCTTAAAGAAACTTAAAGTAAAAGAAGTACTGTTTGTAATCCCGTTTTATAAAACAGTAAAATACACATATACGGATTACCGAAAGGGATTTTAAATAATGCAATTTTTTTTAATTTGTTCGTTTCTTTATCCGTTAAAAGAATAAGTAAGTAGTAAATAAGTAAGTAGTATAGATTTTGTCTTAAATATATCTATCAAGAAGTTTTGCATTTGTCACAGTTTGCATTTACTATTGTAAAATTGCCTTTATAAATTATGTTGAAAATAGAAAACAAGCACATAATAAAAAAAGTTCATTTAAAAAAAAAGAATCGTTATTAACATACCAAATATCAGGAAAGCAGATGTTGTCGTACTAGTTGTTGTGGTAGTTGTTGTGACAGCAGACGTGTTTCTTAATTCATCACTTCCATATTCATCATAATCATCATTGTCATCGTCGCTATCATCATCGTCGTCGTCATCATGGCGATCATTGTCATCATCATCATCATCATCGTTGTCATCATGAGCAGGAAATGCTGGAGGTCGTGGCTTTGATGTCTGAAGTGAAATAATATTGATACATTTATTTGTTTAAAAAATCTAGGCATATTTGTGGAACAAGAAGGATATTGTTTTAAGAATAAATATTTTCAATGTAATGAACGAAGCGCTTCACTTTTATTGTTTTAACTACCATATTTTTCAGACGAATATTATATATCATACAATTCGCCGCCCTTTTTAAATGCGTTTTATCTTTTGTTCAGTCTTTTTTTTTTATTAAAATGTTATAAACAGACTTAGATAAAAATATTCGGAACATTGTTACAGCTAATCGCTTTAAAATCTTGCCTTAAGATAGAAGACAACATACCTTTAAGACAGGTCCTTGGTCGGGACAGTCCATTCTGTTTAAATTGGCACGCAGGGTCCTTATCTGGTCAAACAATGCCTCACAGCTTAGGGGTGTTGATTCGATTATGACCTGATCAAGAAATCCCTCCACAACAGCCTGATTCTCAAATCCTGTGACATAACCCCTCGCCAACAATGTCTCTGCACCTCTGCACTCTACCAATAATACTACTCCACCCCTTTCATTAGAATTCCCGCACTCCAACACTTTTTCCTTCTCGTGACAAACACATTTGACATAGCTATCTCCATTCACATAATTTATCGTTACAAGAAACGAGATTAAGATCATTAAGAGAACCATTCTTGACAACTGGACACTTAAAAATGAGTATACGACCAAAAACAATAGCAGACAATTATAAAGGTCACGTGACACCGACAAAAGAAGCGGCATTTGCCTTTGATCCTTAGCGAGGTTCCGTCGACACGTGTCTGATCTTCGGTGGGGCGGTTGGGGAGCATTGTCACGTGACCGTGATCTCAATGTTAATATTAAAAAAAAAAACAAAAAAAAACGGTGATGTGTAAGAATTCACTTTTAAAATAATGTTAATTCTAAATTATATTTTAAAGAGGGATGGAAATAAGAATAAACTACATAATTCTATAGTGATGAAAATAAACATCCATAATCACGTGATACCGTAAGAAAAGAAGGGGCCTACTTCTTTGATATTCTGCGTTGAAAAACTTAAAAGATAAATTGTTGATTACATATGATTTATTTAAAATTAATTTGAAAATATGGGGAAAAAAGCTTTTTTTGTAACAAATATGACATTATCCGATAAATAAAGCGATAATTGGTAGTCTACATTAACAATGTTTCAAAATTTCTTTAGTATCAGATCATGCCGAAAGTTATAAATTAAAAACAACAAGAACAACAACAAAACTTTATACAGGCCATTCTTAACAGAAAATATTTTTTATTTTTTCCCGACCATACCGTATAAACACGAGTATGAACTTTTCATAATCTTGCAATCCCTATTCGGATTATTATTAGATAGTATAGAGCAACTCCCGAAATCTTTCAAGATTCTTGATTTCCAAAATGCAACAGTTTCTATTCTATCATACATAGTTTTTGAAGTTCGCGTCAGGTTCATGATGTCAGCGACCGACATGAAATTTAATATCATACTGAGAACATGAAAATTCAAATTTTCAAGATACGTGTCCGTTTCGTCTATGTCCATTGGTTCGTATATTTGAATTCCCCTTTCAATGCTAACAAGATCCTCCATAACATTTGACAATGGAATAGGGCTGAATTGCCGGAATTGCAATGATCTTTTGCTGAAATCATTTTTAAAAATATACCCTCGAGCTGCTTTTCGCACTAAAACTCCAGCTTCTCCGAACTGGAAAACAAAGTTGTCAATATGCATTGTTTGTATAACCTGCATATGTGCCGGCAAAGAGAAATCAATAAACCTTATTGTCGTATCGCGCAGACGAATTCTTGCCGTTGCAGCAACGTCATTACCTTTTATCAGTTCAACTTGAATCTGAAATCAATTATAAATTGTGAATAGCGGTTGATGGAAAAAATATGAACAAAAAAAACACATTTTTATTCACTGTTATTACCAGATTAACTCTCAGCAGAAAAAATATTCTTACATTACAATGTTTCTATTTCATTATAGTTTAAACGTTGAATTAAACGTAACGTGGGGCTATTTTTTAAAAGAAACATCATTAACTTTTATAAGTTTAACTTGAATCTGAAATCAAATATAATTTGTGGATGTTTGAAAAAAAAATCCACACCTTATTTCATTGTAATTACCAGTTCAACTATCAGCATATCAGCAGAATAAGATATTTACATTAAAATGTTGCTATTAATTTAACGTAACCTGGGTGTATTTAAAAAAATTGAAATTACCTCCGATCCAACTCTTTGTAAACAAACAGTCCTATTACAATCGAAATTATAAACTTTTAACTGTCCTCTCTCTGCTAATATTTGGTTGAAGTTATTTGAATCCATTATAATTATATCTGTTGACGAATAATTTGTCCTTTTTTTTACCCGGGCTTTATATACCTGACTTTTTTAACAAAAAGGTTGTTTTTTAATCTATGTTTAAGATACTGTCAAAAAACAACGCATTGCCGTAAAATACAGATATCTTTATTTATGTCGCTACATATAACATTGTGAAAATTAAACACTATACAGCTTGATAATACAACAATACTTCTGTCATCAAATTTGTACATAACAAAACCTGATTAAGAAACATACCCCCTGTCAAACAAAGTATTCTGACATCTGATCAAAACATAATAAAGCCTGAGTGAAAAATACATTATCCAGTTTTATCTACAATTATCACATCTACTATAAAAAGAACAACGACAATATCAACAATAACAACAATAAATAAAATATAATCAAACAGTAGCTGTAATAAATTAATAAATACAGCGGACATATTGATTTTTTATAAAGGCCTACGTCATGTGTTTATAACGGCCCGTTTATAATACACCTACATTTAGTAAGCTAGCCTTGTTTTTCTAGGCGTTTTAAAATATATAATGTGAAAATGACTTCCGGTGAAAAAGTAAATTTATATTTGCTTGACATTTATTAAACAAGGGAAATGTAACATAGTTGTAATTATGTGCATTTCAAATCAAATCTTTCATTACCTAGAACATTTCTTCATCTAAGATTTTCAACAAATCAATGAAATAGTGTCCAAAGCTATAGGACTGATTTGCATCCACATAATAGCGTTTGGTTTCTACAGGTGATAGAAGTGTTCTTTTTGTTGATACATGATACATGTTTTGGTCATAGTGTTTAACTGATTTTATGTTTTTTTGGTATGACATTTCGGACTCGAGACATTCTTTATATCTGTCATGATTTAATTTAACATGTACACCCTTTGCATGAGTTTTTTCACCATTATCTGTGAGTACTGAGTATGTCTTGGAGGACAAAACCACACTTTCCACTAACACGCTGCTTCCTAGTTGTAGTTTCATTTTACCTGGTACCTAAAATCATAATAAATGGATCAATATTATTACCGGAAGAAGTATTGCTGTATCATGTTAACGCAATCGGAACATCCTCGGTTATTATTCATAATAACTTTATACGAAGACTTACCGAAAGTGCCGAAAAGTTGCGACTGATGTTAACGTAGATGACATCTTCTTTTTATTTTATACGACAAACATTTTGTAATAATTTTAAAATTATTCTTTAATATATTTTAAATAGTAGAAAATAAGTAGTCAACAGCAAATCCTATAAGTACCTTTAAATCGCTATCAAATAAATTATTTGAATATTTCATTTGTATACCTTTTTGTTTCTATCATCTTTAAGGTTGTGCCCATCAGGTAATGACGAAAAATCGAACAGTCGTCTGTTTCTCCACATAACTTCATTGACATTCGGAACGTTGTTTATTTGAAACAAGAACGAATCGGTGTCAGAGTACAACAAATTAACACTCTCCTCTGGAAACTCTTTCAACAAAAAGTCGTAAAAAAACTCATACATCCTCAGTTTGCTTAGCTCTGGGTAATGAAAAAGAACAAAAGAATGCAGTTAGCGCC